CCCCTGCGGCCCCTTTATAGCCGCCGTTATCAGGAGGGGTTGCGACACCCGGGGCCTGGCCCCGTCCCCCGGCGCAGGGACAGGGCACCTCCCTGGGGACAGGGCAGCTCACGCCCCAGGGCCCGGCCCCCCGGCCCCACGCACCAGGCAAGGCCAAGAGCTGCGGTTATTTATTTGGTCTCTTTCCAGATTCAAAAGGTGTTGGGAACAAAAAAACACCCAAACAGCTAAGGGACAATAGTGAGTTTGGGGTAAAACAGGGACATGGAGACACCAGGACAGACACCGGCGAAGGGGACAGGGTGGACAGCCGCCACCTGCTTTTGCAGCACCCTTAAAAACAGCTTTAAAACCTGCAGAAAACCTAGAAAAGAGCCCAGGCCCTAGGCGCAGGCAGGGCAGGGCAGGGCAGGGGGAGCCCCTCAATCCTCCTCCTCCTCCTCCACGCGGCGGACGCGCTTCCGCCTCCCCAGGGGCTGCAGGTCCTCGTCCTCCTCCTCCTGGGAGCGGGAGGCTGCGGGTCCTGGCTCTGCGCCTGCGGGCGGAGGGAGCGGGGAGGGGGCTGAGCCCCACTGACCAGGGGGTGCGGGGATACAACACCCCCACCCCCCCGCCATCTCCCAGCGCCAGGGACGTGGCAGAGGGGCCAGGGCCACCAGGACCCAGGAGCACCCTGTGGCCAGCTCCTGGTGATGCCCAGAGCACCGCCAGGGAAGAGCCCCTGCAGCCCCCCAGGAGAGACCGGAGAGGCTGAATGTACCTGAGCTCCCGTCATCCTCGCTGTCGAGCTCCCGTCGCCTCTTGGTGCCTGGCTGCACCGGGCTGGGGACGGGGACGGGCTCCTCGCTGCAGCAGTGGGGACAGGGGTTGGCCACCGCTCAGCCCCGCAACCGGGAGAAGCACAGGGTCCCGATTCCCTCCCCGGTCAGGGAGAGGACCCCCAGCCTCAGGGAGAGGACCCAGCTGCAGGGCCAGTGCACGGGAGCCTGTTCTCACCTCTCCGAGTCCGATCCCAGCCCTGCCGGCAGCTGCTCTGCTGCTGGGCACAAGAAGAGGGGCTCAGGGCTGGCCCCATGGCTGGGGGACCCCAGCCCGGCTCCCACACCCCCAGCCCGGCCCCTCACCTGGAGCGGGGTCCTGGGGGCACCCGGGTGGCTCCAGCGGCCCCTGGGGGGACCCCGGGGGGTCGGGGCCACGGTGGGCGATGGAGGCGGCCGCACGGCGGAGCTGCTGCGGGGTGAGGGCAGCCGGGATGCGCCAGAAGGACTCCTGGGCAGAGAGGGGAGACGCTGCAGGGCCGCGCCAGGAGCGAGGGGATGGGGACAGGGACAGGGACCTCACCTGCTCACTGGCGGGGGGGCGGAGACCCAGCCGCCGCAGCAGGGCCCGGGAGGGCCGG